AATCCCATTCTCTTTAAGATAATCTAAAAATTCTCCCTTTAAATATTCTCCACCTCGATCTGATCTCAGCGTGAGAATATTTTTACCAGTCTGTTTCTCTACTTCAAGTTTGAATTCCTTGAACTTTTCAGGTGCTTCATGCTTGAATTTCATCAGATACACATAACCATATCTAAAATGATCATCAGTGAATGTGATGAAGTAAGAGATACCACCTCTGGCAGTTATTGACATGAGTCCACATACATCAGTATGTATTAATCCCAGCAGTTCTATGGTTCTTTCTCCTTTTCCAGTAAAAGGGAACATGGTTATTTTACCTAATAGACACGACTCGCATTTGTCAAATGATTCGAAATCAGTTGACCCCAAGTATCCATCTTTATGTAACTTGGAAATGCGTTTGTCGTTAATATGACCCAGTCTGTAATGCTAGAGGTATGTATTATTTAGATTATCACTTTTATGCATTTTATTTTCTATATTCATAATAGACGACTCAGTATCAAGAATGTAAATTCCATTTTGCAATACACCACAACCATAAAAGATCTCATCTTTATAAAATGAACAACGATTGTTCTTAACATTAATTGAAAAACCATTCATGTCCAAACACGAAATAGAAATAATGTTTTTAGTAATGGCGGGAACAAAATAGCAATTTTCTAATTCTAATACTAAGCCTGAAGGCAGTGGTAAGAAATATGTCCCTACAGCTAATGCAGCAACTCTTGCTCCATTTCCCACGCGCAGGTCAACTTCTCTTTTCTGCAGTGGTCTACTTCTCTTTAGTCCCTACATATTTATACAAATATGAGATCCACATCCGGTATCTAATACCCAAGAAGCTAATGAAGTAGACATATTAACCTCAATAACAAAAATACCTGAAGTAGAAGTTTTAGAAGACTTCTTTCCCTTCAAGCTAGCGAGGTAAGCCTTGCAGTTCCTCTTCCAATGACCTTTCACTCCACAGTGATAGCATGGGTCATCAGATTTGGTAGTGTCATTGCCTACTTTGACTGCTCTGTTATTGCTCTTAGCCTTTTTGAATATTTTCTTAAAACTTCCTTTGATTTTCTTCTTAGTGCCATTGGAGGAATGAATAGCTAAGACATGTCCAGTGCTTACCTTGACATTGGGCTCCACAGTTTTAAGCATATTAAGCAACTCAGGGAGTGTGCATTCAATCTTATTCATATTGAAATTCATAATGAACTGTAAATAACTATCTGGCAGAGATTGCAGAACCAAGTCAATACTTAGTTCATGATCCATGATAAAACCCAATGAAGCCAGTTTTTCAATGAAACCAATCATCTTCAGCACATGAGCACTGACTGAAGATCCCTCTGCCATCTTGCACCGGTATAGTTGTTTAGAGGTCTCATACCTCTCCACACGAGATTGTTCATCATAAAACTCCTTGAGATGAAAAATCATAGTGTAAACATCCATACCTTCATGTTGCTTCTGCAATTCAGGTGACATAGCTACAAGCATCACACATGCTGCAGTGTTATCGTCATCACTGTATTTGTTGTAAGCAGCCACCTCTTCCTGAGTGGAATTTTCAGTAGGCACCACTGGAAAGGGCTGCTCAAGGACATATCCAATTTTCTTATGCTTGAGAACGATTCTCAAATTGCGGTGCCAATCGAGAAAATTTGGTCCGATCAGTTTGTTGGCATCCAGTATGCCTCTCAAATTCATATGATTACTTATGATTCAAAAACTGTAAATGACGAAATAACATAGAATTAATATGTATTATAATGCATGTGCACAAATTCAATATGGACTTTAATTAAACGTGCTTCAACTGTTTAAAATAAATTCATGACCCTCATACATAAATTATTTAAATCCTCATTTGATTCTTGGTGGACTAGAATCCCATTCGTTGTATCAAGATCTTGAGCGTACTCAACAAATCCTAATAAAATATTTAGGTATATATTATTATCAATTGTATCTCCATACAACTCTCAAATCATTAAGCTGACAACTCTTTTGTCTTCACACATCTTATGTGTTAGCTTAACATGCCTCTAAAACTTATCTCCTTAAGTGTACTCAATAAAAGATAAATTTTAGTTAAGTCAAATCCATCATTCAGAAATATCAAATATTTCATAGTGTTAAACATATCCCTAATAGACCGGCCTTGATTGTACTCAACAAGTTAAGGTCGATTTAGGATTCTCGTTTTTCACTATAATGATGGAAGGCAAATAATACTAACTTAATATTATAATGAGGGATTTAACGTGCAATGGTCTCATCAAGTATATATATATATATGTATATATATTTAAACATACATCTACTATGCGAATAAATATATATAAGTAATAGTATGGATGATTATGGACTTGTTCTATATAGTTTTTTCAAGCCAAAGGAAAAACTAGTTGGTCAATTCCTAAAGGGTACAACATTAGATCAACACCAATGCACCATCTTCATGGTGTCCACTTCTTCTCGTGACTCCAATTAGTCAAACTGCAACATGTATCCTATACTAATTGGCACACAGGTTTAAAAGAAATCGGACTCGCAGGCCCATAATAATAACAATAACAACGGACTCACATGTCCAATATAATAAAGAGCTCGCAGACCCATAACAACAATAATAACAACAGACTCGCAGGTCCAAAATAATTAAGGGCTCGCAGACCCATAAAACAAAAAGAAGTAAATCAACCATTCAACACATCCATATGGTCGAGTCCATAATCATCCATAGACATTCATCACATAAATATTTCCTATGTATAATATCTAATATTATATGCAATGTCTCATA